TGCTTGGCTGTATGTGTATGTTTTAATTTAACAAATATTTACATAGCACCTGCTATAGACCAGGTACTTTATGCATACTTGTTCATTTAAAACAAACAACTTTTAGGAAGATACTACTATTATCCTCATTTTGCAAATGAGAGAGCTGAGGCTCAGAGAGGTTCACCAATCTGCCCAAGGTCTTGCGGGTCAAAGGGGCAGAGACGAGGCTTGAACCTAGGTTCTCTGGCCACAATACTCAAGCCCTCTCCCACCACACTGTGCTATGCTGCTACTTTATACAGCACATTGATTGTCAAGGAAGTGTATAGGAGTGAGAATAACTACAACTTATTTTATCCTGGGACCCAGGGATCTTTGTATAAAGACTCTACTCCCTGCCCTTACATGGAGACATCTGTGAGTTGAGGAGGAGCCTTTGATTTATGGGTGGAGGGACCACGCTACCTGTATCTCTGCTCTATGGATGCAGGGCGTTGAATGACAGCGAGCAGCTGACAGGGAGGGCCACTGGTCCCCTCACTGCTTGCCAGTTTCAGTTAATTTCCATCTACTTTTTCTACGCCTCCCCACAATGATTCTTGGTTTTGTGTTTCACCAGGATCCAGATGGTGTTGTAAGTTCATTATTCCCACCATAAATCTTCAAAAAAAAATCACATATCAGTGATAGAGAACATATAAAGAGAAGACAACAGATCATAGAAACGTTAAAAAACAGGACAAAATTTGCACGGATCAGAAGTGTAACAGAAGCACAACTCAGGGGGATGTGCTGTCACGGACTTTTGGATTTAGGTCCTAAAACAGACACAGTGGATGAGAGTTTATATGCTGCAAAGTCATGAGCACTAAATGTACTTCACATGGGGCAGGGGTCCTGGGCCAGGCTCATTACATGCACCTAGGCAATGGGATTGGACTCTCCCTGCAAAGGAGGCTGAAAAAAGTTACTGCTGGCTGCATATTCTGTTTCAGGGCCTCTGGCTTATACAACTACCCAGGAGGGCTGGAGAAAGGAGATCCAGCCATGTATCTAGGACTTGAGCTAAGCTGCCTGCTGCATCAAAGGCAGAATCTGAGGTATCTCACTCACCACGACATGGAATTCCTAAGCCATCATTGTAAGATTTGGTTCAAGACTGGGAGATCTGAGAGAGGGGCAGGTGGAGGTGACCAGCAAACTGCTAGGCAGGGTGGGGTAAGTGGAGAAAGAGAGAGGAGAGGAAGAAACAGAGGAGAGAGGTGAGAGGAGGGAGGGGGAGAGAAAGAGAGAGAAGAAGTCGGCTGGGGATGGCGGGGAAAAGTTCCACTCAATAGGAGCCTATAAACTAAAACTTTATTTTTTATTTTTTATTTTTTTATTTTTTGAGATGGAGTTGCTCAGGCTGGAGTGCAGTGGTACAATCTGTGCTCACTGCAACCTCTGCCTCCCAGGTTCAAGCGATTCTCCTGCCTCAGCCTCCCGAGTAGTTGGGACTACAGGTGGATGGCACCATGCCTGACTAATTTTTGTATTTTTTAGTAGAGATGGGGTTTCACCATCTTGGCCAGGCTAGTCTCAAACTCCTGACCTCAAGTGATCTGTCCACCTTGGCCTTAGTGACTCTTCGGAGGACAGCTGTTCGCCTGCCTAGGGCTGCTACATGATCAAAAATAGCTGCTATTGTGTTGAGCCACTACTTCTTTGGATGGTCAAAGATATCAAGGAAAGAAAACTTATTTAAAAGATGAATAGGAAGTAATTTTAAAAAGGCAGAAATAAAATATCACTAGGTGAATACGGAAAAGAATCAACTTGAAATCCTAGAAATAAGAACAATGATAAATGAAATCTAAAAATTCAGTAGATCAAATTGAATGGAAACTTTAGACCAAACACAATTGAAGAAAAAATTGATGAACTGGAAATATCACCAGAAAGTACTACAGAGTGAAAATGAAACAAAAAATATGAAAGAGAAGTGAAGAGTCATAGAAGGGAGTTCAAAAAGCTCTAATAATCATATAATAAGAGTTCCAGAAAAAGTCAATAATTGATTCATTAGTGGATTGTCATATTTGAAGATACAGATAATCCTTGACTTATGATATTTTGATTTATGAATTTTTTACATTATGATGGGGTAAAAGCAATATGCTCCTTAATTTACAATGGGGTTATATCTCAATAAATCCATCCTGAAACTTTACTGGGACATAACCCCACTGCAAGTTGAAGAGCATTTGTATATTGATGAGAATTTTTAAGAGTTGAAGAAAGCTACTGGCTCTTAGGTTAAAAGTATACACTGAATCAGTAAAAATAAATCCACACATAAATGCCTTGTGCATACACAACACCAGTGTAATAAAACATTGGATATCAAGAATAAGGATAAAATATTAAAGGGTACTGGAAAAAAACAGTAAACCTATACAAGATGATAATTAGTATGACATCAGACATTTTAACAATGATACATTTGAGGAGACAATGAAGTAGTATCTTCAAAGTGCTGATGGAAAACATGGACAACCTGAAATTTTATACCCAGCAAAACTATTATTTATAAATTAAGACAAAATAAATAAATTATCAAAGATTAAATTAGTTTACCAACTACAGATTCTCACAGAAAGAACTAATAGACATGAATTTCCATGAGATGAAAAGTGAACCAAGAGAGAAAGTACAGGATCTAAGAAGCAATGATGTACACAAATAAAATACTTGGTAATGTACATTTTACAAAGATAATCAATGAGGAAAAAAGTCTACTTTTTGTGTGTACATTAAAAAAGAAATGTTCAACATCTAGACAGCATTCACAGGGAAGAGGATGTTCAGTGAGTAGTTGAAACATGCTGAGATTCTTGTCTTGTTTGAGAGGAGAATAAAAACTCTGAATAAATTTAACTTTCTTATAAATATTTATGGTTAATTATGATTGCTAAAAATCAAGGAGTAAAACTTAAAGAACAGACCACAATATATCCTTCCAAAGCAGTAAAAGTTAAGGAATAAAGAAAACTTTATCAAAGTTTGAGAAGTTAGGAAAGGAAAAAAGAAGAAGAAAAAGGAAAAACCAAAGCCAAAACCACAGGAATAAGATGGTAGAAATGTCCCCAAATAGCTCAGTAGTTAAAATAAATGTAAATTGTTGGAGGCTTTTTATTTCTTCTTTTTTTCAAGCTACAGTCCTCAATAGATGCAGATGAAGGCCTTTTAAAAGACATAGATGTTCACATTTTATTTTTATTTGTATTTATTTATTTATTGAGACAGGGTCTTGCTGTGTCACCCAGGTGAGAGTACAGTGACACGATCTCACTGCAGCCTCAACTTCCTAGGCTTAAGCAATCCTTCCACCTCAGCCTCCCAAGTAGCTGGGACCACAGGTGAATGCCACCCTGCTTGGCTAACTTTCTGTGTTTTTTGTAGAGATCAGGTTTTGCCATGTTGCCCAGACTGGTCTTGAACTCCTGGGCTCAAGTGATCCTCCTGCCTCGGCCTCCCAAAGTGCTGGGATTACAGGTGTGAGCCACTGTGCCTGGCCTAGATTTGAGTTTTAAAACTGAAATTCAGCTTTGTGCTATTTATAGGAGACATAGTTAAGAAGAAATGACACAGAATAGCTAAAAATTAAATGAAAAAAGCTAAATCAGACAAACACTAATAAAAAGAAAACTGACATAGCAAATGTAATAGCAGACCAAATAAATTTTAGGTCAAAAATTTATAAATAGGCATAAAGGAGAACATTTATGGCTGGGCGCGGTGGCTCATGTCTGTAATCCCAGCACTTTGGGAGACTCAGGCAGGCAGATCACTTGAGGTCAGGAGTTCAAGACCAGCCTGGCCAACATGGTGAAAACCCTTCTCTACAAAAAATATAAAAATTAGCTGGGCATGGTGTTGTGCACCTGTAGTCCCGGCTACTCAGGAGGCTGAGGCAGGAGCATGACTTGAACCTGGGAGGTGGAAGCTGCAGTTGAGCTGAAATCATGCCACTGCACTCCAGTCTGGGCGATAGAGGAGACTCCGTCTCAAAAAAAAGAAAAAAAGAAAAAGAACATTTACAATAGGAAAAGAACAATCCTGCAAGAAGTAACAGATTTGTATGTTCTTAGGATAACCTCAATATTTATAAAGCAAAAGCAATAGAATTACAAGGAATATTTATAAGGAAATAGATTAAGCTGGTAAAAAAAATTAAGATATAAAGGATTTCAACAGCATAATTAAAAAGTTGGTCAAATTAGATAAATGGAGAACTCTGCACCTAACAAAGTGATTATGCATTATTTTCAAGCACACTTTGAATACTTACAAAATTGACCCTCTTGATAAAACAATCATATCTTCTGACTATAATGCAGTTAAATTAGAAATCCACAGTTAAAAAAAGAGTATATGACATGAGATAAATCTATGTATCTGAAAACTATAAAACTAATTCCCCAAAATCGTTTTTGGGTTAAAGAGGAAATCATAATAGAAACTGGCAAGGGAACCCTTGTGGCTTTTGACATATATACATATTAACTTGTTACCTTGCTAAAAAGTAGCAGCTTATTTTATTACCTCGACTTACGCTTGAACAGTTCCTTTTGTATTTTCCTGTTACCTCTCTACCGCCTCTCTAATCGTCAAGATTTTTGCTTTTATTTTGCTCAAAAAACATTTCTCAGAAACCCTCTTTACTTTTATAGCTTTTGTATTTTTATCCTTGTTCTTTATCCTCAATACCTTCTGCTTTTACATTGTAAACTTACCGTCTCCATAGTTTTTGGCTTTCAATGCTACTTTTGTATTTTTAACTTTTAAATCTCATAGACATCTAATCTTTTCTTTTACATATCTATTATTATCTCATTATTCCAAACTCTTCGAAAATAATAATTATATTTAAATATTTTAGTCCTTTCAAAACTTTTTCTTCTCTAACCTTTCAAAAATCTTCTCCAAATTTCCTACCTTGTGGATATTATTTTACCCAAGTGTTTTTGTTCTGTTAGCCCCCTTTTTTCTTAGTGTCTAGGATAGGCACCATCTTTGGAAGCATAGCCTCAAGATGGTGGCATGGAGGGGACTGACAGAGGCAGGGGAGCTTCAGGTCTGCTGGCTCTCTCCTCCCTCCTTGTCACCCCTCAACCTCTGGGCTGCCCTTTGGGCTCATGACGATGTATCTCAGAGCCCAAGGGGGTTGGGCTTCCCTTCTGGGGGACTCTGGAAGCTCCTGGGTTAACTACTCTCAGGGCTCTGGTTTTCTCCATGCAGATAAAGTACTTGATTTCCTGGAACAATTTTTCTTTCTCAGTCTGAGGGCTCTGATCTATACATAACCTTTGTACTTGGGCCACCTACATGAACCACATGCCATGAGGCTGGAGGGAATGGAAGGAGACCAGGTGGTTATGACTGCAGACCTTGGCCTGACCCCAGGAAGCGCCAGTGTGGTTTTATTCCCTGGGCATCACAGCACTGTTTTCCAGGTTGGGCTTCTGTACCACTTGCTGTTAGACCATATTTTCAAATGGACCCACCTTCCTTTCCAGTGGGAATATGAACATTTTTTCTCTTGATGCATGATTCTCCTTAGCTTCCTTCCCTATTACGGAGTTCAAAAAGAATGTGCCTAGGGCAAAGGATTTTCTGTTTTCGGGGTCAAACATCAGGCTTGCTGCAAGTCTGCCAGGCAGAACGGCTTTCTTCAAGTGGCAAGACCTAAAGTGGGCAGTCAGGTCCACCTGGGGACAAGGGGGCCAGACTCACCTGTCACTGGAGGCTGGGAAGGATTTTCAATGCACAGGAAGGTTCTTTGCCTCTCATCCATCTCACAATAAAGGAAGAGGACACACCTCTGGAGAGGTTAGAATCCTTGAAAGAAAACACGCCACACGTACTGACAACGCCCTCATCCTCACGCAGCTGCCCCCATCATAACTTCCCTTTGGTTTTCTACAGCCTGCCACTCAGTGCTCAAGAAAGAGTTCTCTTGGGTGCTTGGGGTTTTCAAAGCGAGGACCCTGACATTTTGGTCTTTATAAAAAAATACATCATTGAGGGAGACCTCAATTTTAAAACCTGCCTCTTCTCATTTTCAAGGAGGTTTATATTACTTGTTCCTCTGGTTATCAAGGAAAATAATTGAAAAGAGAATAAGTGCACTCTGACGTCTGTCACTTTTAGGCTATGCAGATGACAGGAATATCTTTTTTTCCAGTTTTGATTTGGCTTCCTGGCAAGCTTCCTGTTTTTCTTAACATATACATTCTTTAAGTCAATATGCTTGTTCTCAGCTCATACATATGATCTCTGGTGATCTTTTAAGTGTCTATTCAATCTGCATATCCCAAGGCAGAATTAATCATCCCAAAGTGGGTCCCTGGTAATCTGAAAGTCAAGATTGGCTCATTTATTCACTTAACAAGTGTCTATTATGTTTCCACTATGAGCCATATCGGAATGCTGTTAGAAAATGGGTGAATTGCATTCCATGAGCCATTCTTTCTGAGGCAAATGTAATAGCCTAATGAAAAATTTCTCTCCATACTTACTTAATGGACAGCTAATCTATTCTGCACCTTCTCCAGGGCCCAGAGCTTCATTGTCTTCTATGCCGGGACCCGTCCCAGTTAGACTCCTTTATAGGGTTGCTTTCACCACTCTTCATAGAATATGACAGCCAGCAAAATGCCTTGCAGTGGGCACTGAACACATATTTGTCAAATAAATGTGCATTCCTCACTAAAAAGGCTTTGCTTTCTAAAGATTGTATTCAGTACTTTCCACAGCTTCCCTCTTGCATTATGGGTGACATTTTCAAAGTGCAAAGCCAAGTCAGAGACTCCACTTTCTTAGGCATACGGGAAGGATGGGAAGGTGCCTGTTCTGTGACCCTAGCAATTGTTGGGGGCTGGAAAAAGAAGAAGGAGAGACCGTGTTCACCTTACTAGCAGGATGGGGAGACCAGAAGTAATTCACCAGGACGGCAGAAATGGTGGAGCTTAGCATGGTGGTGGTGGCTGCCTTGTACACTACTAAGAAATGATCCCACAAACACCTTTGGGATGAGTGGGGATGTCTTCAGTTCCCTGCATGAGAGAGACACTCTTGCCCAGCCAGCTTCCTCCAGGTGACGTGGAATGCCAGGTTTGGGATTTTCATATGCTGCTGCTGCCAGCTCAGCTGAGTCCCCCCTAAGAACAGGGCATCTAAGGCACACCCACTCCCCAGCTCTCCAAATGTCTGCTCTTGAAATAATCTGTTTGTAATTTCAGTCCACATTTCTCCTGATTTTCCCTCCTCTTGCCTAACTTCTCCTCTCTGAACACTGTGACATAGAGCGAAGTGGGTCTCAAGAAATGGTCTAATTCTGCTATACTCCAGAAACAGTGGTGTGCTGGTAAATGTTTAATAACCAGATCTCCAGGAGAAAAAAAGCTCTGATTTGTAGTGTTTGTTGATTTCCATGGTGCAAATACTGCCACCATGGCTGATTTCAACCTACCACCCTCCATCACTGCACACAGAGTTGGGAAGAGATGCACGCAGTTGACTCTGGAAGGCCAGTGTCAGCTGACTGCAGCGCAGCACCGTGACCTCCATTTGAAGAGGCCCCACGAGGCAGTCTCCAAGCTGGACACTGTAGGTGCTAGCGGAGCCATTCAGAGCTGCAGATTGGGTTTTCTGGAAGCAGGTCCTGAGATGGAGTTTGGGGAGGAAGTAGCACTGGGCAGAGGGAGAAGCCAAACTGTGACCCCGCCCTCTAAGGGCCTCGAAGCTAACCTTTGTGCTCCTTCAGTCTCAGGACATGGGCTCCTCTGGGAGAGGTGCAGCTGAGGCAGACCCTGTAGGAGCTGGCAAGAGGAAGCTGCCTAATAGCCACATGTCCCACACCTGGACAAGAAGTCTTGCTTCAGAGAGAGAGCTGGGTGGCACTTCACACTGTCAGCCACGTCCAGATACACCCAAGTCGGGGTGTGGAGCCCCTGTCGGAGCTTTCAGCAGTAGTCCTGACCACCTGTACCTGTCGTTCGTCACCTGTAGCCTTGCTCCTCACCTGGTCCCTGCCTGCCCAAGTGCCCAGCTTTGCTTGCAGTTTCCAAGTCTCCAGCTCATCCTACTCATGGCTGAAGGTCCCGGCAGGCTCTCTCCTGAATCCCACGCAGGTTAGACTCCACTTTGTTTGCCCAGGCTGGACATTTCTGCCTGCATCCTCGGGGCATCTGACCTCAGTGCTTGGGCCTTGCTCCTTGGTGCTGACAGCGTGTGGTGAGACCACCCTGCTGGGCAGACAGGCTGGGATGCCTGGGCATGGGGCTCACTCCCCAGGGCCCCCGCTGGCTCTGGGTTGGACGTCGGCTCCAGGCACGATGCATGGTCTGCTTTGTGCACAGGTGGGGTGGACAAAGGTGGCAACTGCACCTCCTCAAACCAGACTGAGGAGAACGAGTGGAACTGGTCTACTGTGGGAGACGGAAGTGACCTCACAGCTCCTGCAGGCTCCTCTCTTCATGTACTTACAAGGACACCACAACGCAGAGTAAATATGCAGCTGGTTAGGAGCAGAGCTGGGAATAGAGCCCCGCCCAGAGCCCTTTTTATACGTCCTTCTCCATGACTGAATTACAGTCCTTTCTTTTCCCCTTCCTCAAGACAGTTTTGTGTTTAGAAACGGCCTCATTGGCAGATTTTCTATTCTCCTTGGTTAGCTAATCGGAACACTCAGCGCCATTCTGGCAGGTGGCCTCCCTGTTTGAGGAATTATCTTGCCTGCCAACTGGGTGCTGGATTTACATGCTGGCTGGGCCGCAGGGAAATCAGCTGGAATAGCTAACGGGCTCATTCATCTCAGGCTTGTCAGCCTCCAGGCCAGATGTCCCTGGTGTGGATGCTTTCTGCCCTCACAGGGCTTGTCCTGGGGCCTCAGCCCCAGCCTCCAGGGAAGCAGACCCTCAGGACCTTGCTGATGAGCTTCAACACTGGCCCAAGGCTCCTGTGGCTCTTATTTCCACTTTATCCTCTGTGAGTGCATTCTTTTTTTTTTGAGACAGAGTCTTGTTCTTTCACCAGGCTGGAGTGCTGTGGTGCGATCTCGGCTCACTGCAACCTCTGCCTCCTGGCTTCAAGTGATTCCCCTGCCTCAGCCTTCCGAGTAGCTGGGACTACAGGCATGCACCATCACGCCCGGCTAATTTTTTGTATTTTAGTAGAGACGGGGTTTCACCACGTTGGCCAGGATGGTCTCGATCTCCTGACCTCGTGATCCACCCGCCTCGGCCTCCTAAAGTGCTGGGATTACAGGCGTTGAGCCACCGCGTCTGGTTGTGCATTCTTTTTTATTATTATATAAAAAAAATTTCTGGCGTGACAGAGTCTCACTCTGTCACCCAGGCTGGATGGAGTGCAGTGGTGCAATCATGGCTCACTGGCCTCAAGTGATCCTCCCAACTCAGCCTGGCCTCAAGTGATCCTCCCAACTCAGCCTCTGGAGTAGCTGGGACTACAGCTGTGCAGCACCATGCTTGGCTAATTTTTTTATTTTGTAGAGACAGGGTCTTGCCATGTTCTGCAGACTGGTCTTGAACTCCTGCCTCAGCCTCCCAAAATGCTGGGATTCCAAGTGTGGGCCACCATGCTTGGCCATTGCACTCTGTTAGCAAACATTGTATCTAAAAGAATGGTGTCATCCTGTTCTACTCTTTTAATGTGATCCTTGAGCATACACTTAGTTATTTACTTTTCAAAACTTTCTAGCTTTTATCTGTAAATGTTAGTTTCATTCTGTTTTCTGTTATTTCAGAGTACCTTTGTTACCTTTATAATTTATTCTCCCTGCTAATTTTAGTCATATTATTGAACTGATTTCCCCCGTAAATGCTGAGCCAGAGGTCTAGGCTCCATGGTGGATGGGATGGAGACGTATCAGCTGCGGGGGCAGTTTCTGTCCTAAGCAAGGAGCTGGGGAGAGCTTGGGCTTCACTCAGCTGTAGGATGCCCCTTTCTGGCCCTCTTTCATGGAATTCTCTTTCTCTCCTTGGGTGAATATTTTGATTCAAAGACAGCTAGCAAGGAAGAGTAGGCAAAGCTCCTGTAACCTACCCAGAGTGGGTATAAAATAGCTACATACCAAAATTAGGGCACGGAAGGGAGGTGGTGTGTGCTGTCGAATTAGAAGCACTGTGGAAACAAGGAAGCCTGGGGGAAAGCTAGAAAGGTGTTTTATTGCGGGGGACGTAACCAAACAGGAAGTTGCTTTCTTCCCACCAAAATGAGGGGGTCATATATTTCCCCTCCTGCTGCAAAATCAGAGACCAGATCAGAGCTC